GAATCAGTAGCAAAACAACCTGGTGTCATGAGGCTATTAGAAGGCAAACACTGGAAGAAGGGGAATGTATTCCAGTGGCCAAAACTGGCTTCCCAGAAATTCTACCACCTTTGCCAGAAGGAAGAATTAACTGAAATCTAGCCTCCATTGGCTATTACCAGCTTAAACTCTTTGAACACCAGACAAACTGTGCTTCCAGAATGAGCACTGAATGTGTCCCTATTTCCTCCTCTTTCTCTGAGTAATCTTAACCGCAATTCTTTACGGATAGCCTTTATTTAATTAGGGTCCCCAAATCCAGGATATATAAAAAAAACTGGATAATCACTGAATGGCACCCAGAGCACTACAATTTTCTGAATCTATGCTGCCAACAAATGGTTGTCCAGATTTTTGTAGCTCAGATCCGGTAGTCCTAATTTAATCAGCTTCAATCAAGTAATTGCATCCTCTGCAATTTGGTTAACTCCAGATAAGTGGGCTTCAAGTCTCTGGATTTTGAGGAATAACTAAGGTAGCTGTGAACTCTGGGAAGTAATGCCCACCTATCTGAAGGGTTAGGCTGGGAAAGATTGAAGTAATTAACTTAAATTATGCAAATTAAGCAATTCACTGTCAAGTTGCATTTTATGTTCTGCATTTGTGCATACAGAAATCTGGATTACTTTGTAAAATTTGGAATAAGCCCTAAATAGAAGTCTTATGAAGCTCACTAGGCTAGATCAGATGTTTTAAAATTATAAAATTCTTCCACATTATTTGTTCATCTTATACTCCTATCCAAAAATTAATTTTGTCCAAAGCAAGATTCTGGGGTTCTGTATGCACATAAGACATACTACATGGCATGGAACCATTTGACACAGAATCTGATTTCAGAAAGATTCTGTGCTTTCACTTTTTAAAGTTTCTAGTTCTCATGGATGTAGACATGATGATTTCATCAGCAATGGGGTAAAATTTGAGCAAGGTTTTTAGTAGTCAGATTGGATGGATCGTAGTCTCTTTTTAATTTTGTACATGTCTTCAGCTGTTGTAAGTAAGCAGACTTGGGATCTACTCAGGATAATTAAAGAAGTACATGTATATATTGGGTGCAAAATAAAATCAGAGCTAGTAAGCAAGTGGAGAGCAATGCAGAAAACAAAGTATTTGTAGAATCTGCTGATAACATATCAATAATTTGAAGAGATCTTTGTGGGACTGCAAAGTTACCGTGTTTGCAGACCCTAAATGCATTCATTATCCTTCCACTGCAAAGGAGATGAATGAACTTATCATTTCAGAGTGCTTAAAGGCCACTTGTATAAAACCTGGTATAGAGCTGTCAGGTGTGATTAAGCTTGCCATCTCCCCTTTTACTACCATGCACTCCAGCGACGCTTCCTACCTTCTGATACTATCATGTTCTTTTAATGAACCTAATGAGAGCTGATTTAATAAATATGGCATTGTTCCAAACCATTCAGCAAGTAGACTTTGAAACACCACCAGGGAGATTTATTTTCATTGGCTGGTCAGTTGTATGGAAAGGGAGATGGGGTGGAATGTTAAAATCAATGTTGGGTTTGTAGCCTTATATTTAATTATATGGTCAAGCTCTGAAATGTGGGACTAGTCTGTTTAGTAAGTGTTGCAATAGTTCTGGCTGTTATCTCAATGGTTTTGTTCCATAGGGTGGATATAGCAACAGTATTCTCAGATCCAGGATGGTTAGCGTGGGCATTTTTGAGGACCCAGTGCTTGAAGGTGACCACAGCGTGACTCTGTACTGAATCCTTCATACTGCAAGGGATGCACAAGGAAAGGCAGCACTTCCCCTTCCATTGGTTCAGTGCCTGCAAACTCCTACTAGAAGTATTTGCAGATACTGGAGTCTTAGCATGCAGTTACTGTAGCTTCATGGATGGAATGTTGGGGTGGGGGGTGGAGAGGAACATGGATTCCAAGCATAACCCTCAGCTTGGGACTCTCCCACCTTTTCCTGCCCTCCTGTTTCTGACATTTTATCTCCATTAAAAAAGAAAAAAACTAAGAACAAATCTATTGCGGGAAAAGATGGAATAGTTGCATGAAGATCTTTGAAATAGTTGGACTAAAAGAATCTTCCTTTTGGAAACAAAGATGCAAAAGAATAGTTAGGTTTCCACAGCCATTTTATTTATTTATTCAGTCAGTCAGTCAATTTATATAGTTGCCTATCTCAACAATGACTTTGTTTAGGTTGGGCTTAGTGTGTTAAGCAAACCCAGTTGTTGTAGTTTGGAAACCAGAATTTAGGGCAGAGCAAACGGTGGAACCCAGCAATACAGAGTCACGCTGTGGTCACATTCAAGCACTGTGATTTAATAGCTGATTGTGACTGACCTTGAAACCTAGCTAGGATCATTTGTTAGGATCTCACATGAATGGTAGAATATCAGAGCTGTAATCTGAACTTGCAAGTCAGAATAACATCCCAGAAAACAGTAGCAAACTACTTCAATTTTATTGCCAAGCAAATGACATGGACACACCTAAGAGTCAAATTCCACTCAGTGGAGGGTTTAGCCATCAGGAAATCATGGTGATGTACAGAGCCAGCCAATGAGTTGAGGAATGTTTTTTTACAGGTCTAAGAAGTTGTCCTTTTGTTCTATAAAAGCAAATAGATCTCATGTAACCACTATTTTGGACTCAAGAGGATCTTCTCTAAGATCAATTTCCCTTACACACAGTTTGCCTTCTTATATGTGCCCTCTGCAATTATATTTATGAAAATACTGACTGTTAAATTCTTCTAAATCTACAGAGGACAATGTTTATCCCTATTTAGTTTATTCTAGGATAATATTGTATGATATTGAGGGTAATAGCCAGGCACGATATTGACCAAATTGCATTTCTAGCTTTTATAAAGTTTTACCTTCTTTCCAGCTTAAAGCTGCAGTGTAAAATGTGCTGGTAACTTTATTAATTTTTGATGGCCACAGATTACAAATTGATGTCAGCTGTTTTCTACTATTTGGTCACCATTTTTAACATCTGTGAAGGAAAATCAGCAAATATGATAAACTTCCTGTCTTAAAATTATTTCATTCATTTATATAGGGAAGATCAGATATATAGCTATACATGAAGTCTGTGTTTATGGCCTGATGGAACTTGCAGCCAGATTGATGCCCTGAATAATTTGCAGCAAAATGAAGTATGATGTTTCTCTACTCAATGTGTCATATGTAGCAGCTCTTGTGTAATTGATTGTAATAGTTCTATCATTATGGCTGTAGTGATGATAGGCCATGAGGTTCTCAAATATTAAAACTACTAACTAGTTTAGCATCTTGGGTTACAACTGCAAACCTGTTTGGCTTACAAATGCAAGTATTAGAAGCCATACCCACTGCACTGAAAAATCATGGTTCAGCTAGCAAATTGGATCCTAATATGTCACATCAAAGAATTGACTAGTTCACTACCAGAATGTAAATAGACTTTTTCCTTCTCTGTTTGCACCTCCTATCTACTAGGCCCAACTCTCTCTTTCAGTCCACAATCTCCTGTTCTCATGAGCTACGTGCCTCTGTAGATCGCATAAACTTAGCTCTCCTGCCAGCTGTGTGCTATTCATGGTCAGCATCTCTATCTTTGTTATCACAGTATTGCTGTAACCTTTTCTCCCCTCTATCAGAATGCTTCTGACTTGATAACACTCGGATTAAATGGAGTTGCCTTATGTAAAGTTGGACCTTTGATCTATTAAGCTCAGTGTAGTTGAGACCAACCCTCCCTAGTCTGGTGCCTTTGGATGAGGTGGATAATTTATGTGGGTGTGCTGAACTATAGTAGTAGTTTGACATATGTGCAGAGCCCTGGTTTAGGAAAGGCAGGTTTATACAAACTGGGGGCAGTTTCCTATAATTAGCATTCCTGTCCTAGACAGTGCAATCTTTTCCTTATAAAGCAAATTAATGGAGGGTTGTTTGCTTTTGCCAGCCGGTTTTTATGCCTTTGTATTAGGCTTCTCCACTATGAGCAAAGAACAGGAAGCACCAAGATGTAGTATTGACTCACTTCAATATGCAGCCTAGATTTGCTTGCTAAGAACAAGCTCCAGAAAATGTTCACAATGTTCCTTCTACCCTGTCCAATAAATATAATACATTTTAAAAATTCTACAATATATTGTGCTAGGCAGCTGCCCTTTCCCATTTCTGTGGTCTTCTAAATTAACGTTTCTTACTGTCTTATTGAAGATTCTGGAAAGTTTTTTTCTGTAAAATAAACAGATCTGAACACATTTATAATGTTCTGAGTACTCAATAAACATTTGATTTACTGGGCAAGTTGTAGGTGCTGAACCTGGATGACCCTGTTTGGACTCATAAGCTACTAGTACTAGTATAGTACTTGGGTCATGCCTGTTGAGCAGAATCAGGCCTACAGCTGTAGGCTAGATTAGGAACTCAGAGAAATATTCCAGAAGAAGGCAGTGGCAAACCACATTTGGACTGTCACAAGAAACCATGTTGGAGCCAAAGGAGATTTTACTTAACAAAGCCAACATATCAGTTTCCTGGATATGTGCTATCAGAATAATATTTCCTGAATGGAAAGCATCATCATGAGGGAAGATGCATGTAGGCCATACATAACATCTAGAGCTACCTACGTTTCCAGATTCTTAGAGCAAATGTTCACCTGCCAAACTTTTGCTGATGGAAGCAAATTTAAACGTTTGCTATCTATCTGTCCTTCTGTCTATCAATCATCTGTATCAATTATCTATCTTTGCAATGAATTTGTTCCCAATCAGCAGTTTTCAATCCAACAAAGTTCTAATTTTGGTTAAGATGATTTTAGCCATATATTATACTGCAGAAATCTGTTCAGCTATTCATTATCTGCAACCCTGAATATTCATAGTCCTACTGGGTGGATGGGAATTGATAAAGTATACCCAGACAACTCAGGTCAGAGAACAGAATATATTTAAAGTCCTAAATAGTTTAGGGCCTGATTATCTCAGGGATCACCTCTGTCTTTATGAAATTCCCAGGAGAATTAAGACCTGAAGGAGAGACCCTTTTACATGTGCCTCTGTTTCTAGGTGGCCGACTGTTAGGAACACCGGAGGGGTCTTTATCTTGAATCACTTCCAAGCTATGGAGCACATGCCCTCAGGAGTTGTATTTAGTCCCAACACTCCTGTTTCAGAGAATATCAAGGCACTCTTCTGCTTTGGTTAAACGTCATGGTAATACTTTAATATTGACTTATTCCAATAGAAGAGAATATATGTAGCTTGGGGTTGTACAGTTGGCTTCCTGGTGCTCTCTTAGCTTGGTTGTTTTCTCACAGATGTTTAATTACTAAGCTAGGTAACATCAGCATGAGGGGGAGTGGGATTTGCTGGCTGTTTATATATAGTAGCTTGCCCTGCTGGACTTGGTGGTGGTGTGGTTTCCTCCTTGATGGTTCCTTGATTAAGGTGGTGTTTCTTCCTTGATTATCTATCTGGTACTTTTTCCTGGTTATCTGGTAAGTAAATGAGATGCATATGTCTATTGACACATACATGTCTATTAATCTTGCAACACATGGACAGACCCAACCAGAGTTTCAACTGGGAAACTGATCACATTTTAGATCAAGTTGAATCCAGAAATGCCAGGAATTCCTGGAAGCTTGGTATTCAGACAAATCAGCCATCAGTAGACACATAGAGCTAAGCCCCATTCTCCCGCATACTGATGATGTTACCTTGCCTGGTAGTGAAATGTCTGCAAGAAAACAGCCAAGCTCAGAGAGCACCAAGAACCCAACATACTGATTTGTGCTTTAAATTTATTTTTACTTATAGTTAATTTTGTTAGTTATCTCATGATTCTAATCAATGGGTCTGAAGATGATGGGAGTTAATAGTCCAACAAATATGAAGAATGCAGTGTTGCAGATGCTGCCTATATAGCTTCCATTTTTCTCTCCTCCCTAAAAGCTCAAGTCCACCACCTCAACAGTTTGCAGGGCCAGAATGAGTTTTAATTGTAAAAGGACAAAAAGTTATTCCCATTATTCAGGAGTGCAGAGCAAGGTTGAGCAAATGTTTGAGTTGGTGTTTCACAGCTGCATTTCAGAAAACAGGCAAAGCAAAAGTAAAGAATTATCTGGAATGTGGACAAAAAAATTGATTTGTTTTTAGTTTAAATGTAATTAAAATTACAATTTAATTTTAAACTCCTATAAAGTCTCTCCAAAAAGCATGGAAGGAGCTTTTTAAAATTCATATGTATATCAAACTCTCAGCTATGTGTTGAGTTATCCTTTTTTTTTTTAATCCCCAGAAGCTACCTTGGTATGAGGAATAGATGACCTGAAGGAAGCCACTCTCAGTACACACCACTGCAGGAGAGGCTGTAACTCAGAGCACATGGCAAGTTCAATTCCTGGGCATCATAATGTAGAACTGGGAAAATTCCTATCTTAAATTTGGGAACTGCCTTAGGCCTGTAACCAGTAATAACATAACTGTTGTTTCTGGTTACAAGCTGCATAATTAATGCATAGCAAAGACTTAGTATGTCTTTGATATGCATTTAATATGTTCTGGGTATAAGTGCCGAATGAAAGTATTCCCCCCTCTCCACGCTTTATACCATACCTCCTCATTCTAATCAAACTCCTTAGCGTGTAGCAATTAGCCCACATATTATGAATATTTAGCATCCTCTCCTAAGATGATTGTAGTTAATAAAACATTCTCCCAAGTGTCCCGTTAAAGTTTGTAGCCCTGCTTGGTTTTGTTACTTTAGGCAGCCAGAAGCCAACAACCCGGAGGAGGGAGAAATTACGTTGCCCGTTTAAAAAAAAAAAATGATAAAGGATTGCCGGAGGAGGAGGCGAGGAAGAACGTTCCTTTCGTTTCCCCTCTCTGGGTCCACAGTTTCTATGACGACCGCCGACACAATGTTCTATCCCGAGAATGTAGCGATTCTCACTTTCAACCAATCGGGATGGAGAGCGTTCAATCATTAACCAATCAGAAGGGAAGCCTAGAAGATAGGCGCAAGAAGGCGATAGTGCTAAGATCTCTTCCTGAAGCTGGCGCGGGAGTCGCACATCCCAGAGTCTAAGGTGGCGGGGGGGAGGGGTGGTTTTGTAATACCTACCCGGGATCTGAGCCGCTGAAATGCCAGCCTTTGGTGAACACTGCAGTCCGTCCCGATTTTGTTGCCTGGCTGGGAACGGCAGGGCTAGGCCCAGGAGGTTTAAAGCATTTTGAGTGACTTCAGTCGAGGTGTGTTAACTGGACGTGATCCGAAGGAATTGTTTAATTATAGTGAACGGATCGTATGGAATGTGAGAACCAACCTATAATCCGGAAAGTAGCGGCAGTGGCTTCATTCGCGGAAAGAGAAGACAAGCAAACCGACTCCGAAAGAAACAAATCCGGCGCAGTCGCCTTCGGGACAACTTACCCTTTGTCAGAGAGCGGAGAACAAAAAATAATCGCTTATTCCGGCGGGGACCCAAATGTTCTTCCATCAGGCCTGCTCCGGAGGAAAAAGATTCGGCACCTGCCCTCGGCCTGTCAGAAATACCCTTACCAGAAGCGGAGCGTGCAAGCAGGAGGAGAGGCGAGCGGGATCACCAGGCACCAGAGAAGAGGCGGGGGGGGCACCCAGCCGCTCCTGAAGGAGCCACCTGAGAAAAAGAAGCTAGAAGGAACTAGAGCGGGCTGAAAGGGCTGTAGCCGACCGGGTTGTCGAAGAGACAAGGCGGGACTGAGCTGAGGGGGCGCGAGTCCGGCAGGTGTTCCTCCATGTGGGGCCGCCAACCTGGAAGAGAGCCGGGGGAAGGCGGTGGGCTCCGGCGATGACCCTGCTAAGCGAGGCCCGGACTTACACACCTGCCAACACTGCTCCTATGGACAGTAACATAGTGGCCATTATTATAGCTACCAGTGAGTATTTGCACGCCTGTCCTCGTCCTCTTATTTTCCGTTGGGTTTGGTGTGTTTGCCTCTGATTCTGTGTACGAACGTAGGAAACTCCACTGCCTTTCCTCCGACTTCATTGTGTTTCCTAAAGCCACGCTATCACCCATTCTCACTCCGTGTGTGCATGCATAGGCAGAATGTTAGTTTTATAGCTGGGCTCTTCTGCGTTGCGGTGCTTGTGACTTCTTTAAGAGTGGTCGAGGCAAATGCTCTCCAGGTGTGTTAGGACTACAACTCCCAGCATTCCCGGGCTCACAGCCAAAGGAATCAGATTGGGGAAAGCTGGATTACAGATACAATGTTCTGCTTATATTGGTTCTAGAGGCAAACCTAGATTTCAATTGCAGAAGTAATGCTGCACTAAGCCAGTGTTTATTTGATCTTAGTTTGCTGACTAAGCCACTGTCTGCCTGGTATCTACGTTGTATTGACATAAACTATGGTTATTTGGCACTAAACCAAAATCAAACAAACCACATTGAGGCGTAGTATAATGTGTGAACCTAGCCAGTGTCTTTGTGTACCCTTGTGTCTGTGTGAGAAGATAGGGAGAAATCTTTGTAGCTCCCTGTCAGGGAATTCTAATTTAGAGCATACAGTAGTCATATGGGAGTTACCTGGACTGTAGTTTATTTTATTTATCTGATAAATTTATATAGCTGCCCATCTCACATATGTGACTCTGAGTGGAGTACAAAGTTAAAAACTCAAAAACAACAAAGTAACCAAAAACATTATAAGGAAATTTTTTAAAAAACGTGAAAAATAATAAAAATCATTAGAAACCATAAACTGTTTACAACATGCCATGTTGATTCATCATGAAAATGTTGACTTCAGAAATTCCCTCAGCCTTTGTACAGATTGACGAGGAAGACATCATGGAGTCATGTGTTACTAGCATATTGGCTGTAGGGACTGAATGTGCTGTGTCGCTTATTTATTAAGAAAAATGTTATACCGTCAAAATCAAATGATTTAGGGCTGTAATTAGGGCATCCAAAGTTTGCTTTTTTTCCTGATTTTTTTTTGGTATTTTCTTTGCATACAAAGGCATAGATGAAGGCATAAGTGTAATGGTATGTATTATCAATTCAAAACCAGATTAGGTGTGTTTACATTTTATATTTGTGAATGCCACAGAAGTATTTCTGACTAATGGGTAGACATCTCTGAAACTCAGAATGTTGGATACTTCTATACTCCCATGAGACGAAGGAGCAGGGGAACTAGGATGATCAATGGAGTGTAGGACGTAAGGGAATTGTGGTTCAGTAACATCTGGAGGACATACATTTATACCTCTGCTATAAAAAATAGTGTTTTTATCCACAGTAATAAAAAATGTAAAGACATTTTTAAGCAAATAACAGTTAAGATTCATTCATAACCTAAGTAATTCTGGGATCCCTAATTCTAGACAATCTGTCCCCTGCATCCCTTTTGTGTTACAGTTGTACCCTTTTTGTTTCAGAATAGAAGATGAAGAGAATTGGGTCACATTTTATAAAAAAAAAAAAAAAAAAGTTGGGGTTTCACAGTGGGACAATGCCCTGTGATTCTTATGGTCTCACCTAACCACAAATATTGGCAGAGTAATCCAACCCTTAGATGGGTTTTCATTTTTTTAGGATCCTTCATGATTGTTCAAGTAGCAAGTGTAGCCTCCTTTCCATCAAAAAATGCCCAGGTTCGATGATGCATAAGGTAGATTATTAGCAATAATCAAGAATAGTGTTAAAAACACAACACAGTTGGAATATGTTTTAATTTGTATAATGAATGATGTTCTATAATTGTCATGAAATGTTATTTTTTTGTTATTTGTGCTTATTTATAAATAAAGCAAAACAAAAAGCACAGCATTAAAGAATAAGCATGAGAAGAAATTAATAGATAAAATAGCAGAGAAACTAAACCTGTCCAATATATAAAAGCCTGCTAGTTCAGATGTGGTGAAGACAGCAAAAGAACAGTTGTTGTTAAATATATTTTCCAGGATAAAGAGTTTCACAGCCCGAATATAGTTACTAAAAAACAGCCTCTCCTCCATTCCCACCAAATGTATTGGGATACACTGTCTGTAGAAATGCAGAATTTGGTTTCCTAACGTTTCTTACCCAAAGATATCTCCAGAGACCAAAAGCTATGTTCAGCGTCACATGAGCACATCCCTTTGCCCTGTCTCAGATGTACTCTGCAAGGCTCCCTGATTTCTTAACCATTGTTTCATTAATCAATAGGATTCCCATTGCACACTAAACCATAAACTATGAAGTCTGTGTTCGCAGAACATGTGAAGCTAAAATCAAACCAACTACATCATACACAAGTTAATGTGATGTGTGAATCACATCTGTATAGCAGACAAATTGGAGGGTTGAAAGAGACCTCAAAGGTCATCTTATCCAATGTTTTGCCAGCCTAGGAAGTCTACTACAGCACTCCTGATAGGTAGCCATCCTTCCACAAACAGTGCTTTGGATCGAGAAATTCCTTCTGGTGTTTACCCTGATACTTTCCTTTATCATCTGAACTGATTAAAGTTCAGACCCTATGAATGCAAGAAAACATTTTTTTTCCTATCATTTATGTGACAAATATTGAAAAATCTCTTCTCCAGGCTATATGTAGATATTTTTTCCCTTTTTTCTCAGTCTGCAGGGCCCTTGTCATATTAAACTGGGGAGACCCTTCAAGCCCTCATTTTCCCCTGAAGCTTGCTAGGTGATTTTTTAGGTCAGTCATAATTTCTACCCCACAAAGTTGTGAATGTGAAGGAAGAAATTAGGGATGATCCCACCTATGCTACCTGGAGATGATGTAAAATAAATAAATAAATGCATTAGATATTCTTAAGCTTTGGTGCCCCGAATTGGGCACAGTATTTCAGAGTCAATTGGCCAAAGCTGAATTGAGTAGAACCATGATTTCCCCTCCTCTAAAAGCCCTACTTGTGGTGATGCAGTGTAGATTTGCTTTAGCCTTTTGGACCACTGCATTACTCTAATTCTTGTTTAGCTCATTTAGCTTCAAAGCCCAGAGATCTTTTCCACATGCATGGGTATCAGTCCAGGAGCCATTGCTTCCTGTCTGGTTTGTTTTATCTTAAAGCAGAACTTTAATCTTGGTTGAACTTCATTTTGTTAGTCTTGGCTTTGTTCTCCATCCTGCCAAATCAACATTTGTATATATATATTTTAATGATATTATTATTTTGGGACTCTTATAATTTAATTTCATCCCTTCCTCTCCTTGCTATATGAACATGGTGCTGAGCAACCTGGTTTTCCAGAGCAACATCAGAAAAGCTAATTTAAACTAATAAAACCCCAATAAATACAGTGCAAGTGAGAATTCTGCTGACTCCACAGGCTTAAATAAATGCCTGTTTTCTATCTGTTAACTTTACTGATCTATCCGTATTTGATGCAGGTTATTTAAAATCAGTTTTCTGCAATGTGAAGTCCCTAATCAGGATGCTTAATTTAACATTCTTAATTAGAAAACCAGCCAAAATGTAAATACATTTTGAAAATGTTCAATTCATTCTTTTTGAACACACGCCTCAACTGACAGATCCAAATTTTAACATGAATTTATGACCTCTGTTATTCTGACAGTATAGAGAAAAGTGCAGCGCAGCAGCCTACTGTACTGTTTAAATTGTATTTACCCAAAGTCCATACACAGCATTCTCCACCTCTCCAGAAGTGATGGACTATGCTTTCCAGAATTCCCAGAAGCTGATAGAAATATTGAGAGTCATAGACCAATATGTGTGAAGACACCAGATTGAGGAAGGCTACAATGGAGCTGCTGGATTAGTTTGAGAGCTGCAGCTGGTAATGTTTGGCTTATTTTAAGGGATTCTACAGGAATAGATTACAGCTGAGAACTTAATATCTTGTGCAGGAAGGAAATGTTACCATCTAGTCTTCACAGGTGGTAGAAATCTAGGCCTGCTGAAATAAAGAGAGCAAGGCCCCCACCCAAAGCTGCTTATTCCACTCCTTTAAAAGCCAAAGGGACTGCTGTGAAGTAAACATTTGATAGAATTACAGACTCTAAAGACTGGAAGCTCAGTCCTCTGTGTTCAGCAACCGTTTAATTGCTGATGTTTTCACTTCATTTTGTGAGATACAGAAATTTTGCTCAATTATTTGTTGAGTGCTTCCCTCTTATTGAGCACTATGTAGAGTAGAATAAAGAAAGGCCTGCCCACGAGTTTATGTTCTAAGAATAAGGAAAAGGGAGAGGCAGGGATTAAGAAGGAAAGGGGAAATTGGTAAAGCAAAACCTGCTAAAAGAATTTTTCTATCTATCTATCTATCTATCTATCTATCTATCTATCTATCATCAGCAAATGCAATATTAGAATCCAGGGATTATGAAGTAATTTGGGAGGAAAGGCAAAACTGACAAATAGCAGAAGTAATTCTAGATTTAAGAAGAGCAACTTGGTCTGATAATGCAAGCATTTTGACTACAATCTCCCCAAATCCCTGTCAGTAGACTAAAAACACTAGGATGGCCTTCCTCAGTCTGATGCAGTCCTTATGTTTCACGTCATTTGGAGCCAGCACTGCTGAGGATAATAGGAGTTGCAGTTTACAGTGCCTGAAGGTCACCAGTTAAGGTAGAACTGTAAAAGGATCTTTCTAAAATCCTCTCTTCACTAAGAAGGTCCTTATATCTTGGTTGTAGTGGGAACTTAGTTAACTGATGTACAGCTATATACCTGTAGCTGCATTAAAAGAAAAAAAAACCCTAGTATGACAGGGAGAGAGCTACCTTCCTGTAATATTTAGATTTTTAGGATGGAAGATTATTTATTTGATGGCACATTCAGAGTATGAAGTCTAAAGATGGGAGGGCCCATCTCATTTGGGGCCAAAATGGATATGACTGGATGTCCCAATGTATTTTGCTTGCTTCAGAACAGTTGGGAAGAGGAATAAAACTCCAGTTTGAATAAGAACCGTAGCTCTGGGGAGTATACAGTTGCATAGCTTCATGAATTTTCACTTTACAGACTATTTTAATAGATTACCTCAGATGACCCAACTCATATTGTGCTACAAACAAAGCTGCAAGAAACCATGTGGTAAGGAAGGGGTGCCTAGGAAAGGACTATGTCCACTGAAAGACTGTGCCCCGCCTGATTAACCCCACCCATTGGATAATCTGACAGGAGTAAATTCTTTTGAGATTTTAACAAATAAAGGTCAAGAGTCCCTGAGTGAGGAAACTAGGACTGTCTGGAGAAACAACTTTATTTCTTTTTTATCAGCTGAAAGAAAGATAGGCCCGTGGGTTTCCCAGTCTCATGTCTTCCTGTTCAGAACAAAACCAAACTGTGTAAATAGATCTGTTCCCTCTCCACAAAGTACAAGAAGTTGGAAACGTGGAATGCCGATGGAAGCGCATCATGTTTCATTTTTTTCAGTGGCACATTATCTCAGAGAGGCAGGTGCCTGCTTGTCTCTATTTAGACCTTGCGAAGAAAATTCCTTGTTGAACCTAAAACCTTCTATTGAGTATCTGAGAGAAATTTGTTACAACATTTTTTCCTGTTTTTCAGTACAGCAACCCCCTGAAAATATAGGGAAGTTTCTGTGGCTGCTTAAGACATTACTATTTATATATGTTTTTATAGCATCAGCTTCATGAACAATCCTTTACAAAGAAACAGTTGGACGTGTCTCTCCCCCAAGGGCTTGCAGTCAAAAGCCAGATTGTTTATAATTTCAGAGAAGAAATTCTAGCTGTGTCCATCATAATATAAGATTAAATTATGGAGTCTTAGAAAATCAATGACTTTTCTGAGCTGTGCAGTGAAGTAGTTAAGTTGTTGGGTTAGAACCAGGAAGACCCAGGTTCAAGTTTGCCCTGTATCATGGAAGCTTGCTAGGTAATCTTGGGCTAATCTGTCTAACTCTTTGTCCAACCTATCTCATAAGATTGTTATGGTGGGGAATTTGGAGAAGGGAATGTTGTATCCACCACCATGAGCTCCTGGAGAAAAGGCAAGCCATTAATTGAAAGAATAACAAATAATTTTATAAGATGAAGCTTGCATATTTATAACTATGGATAAGTTTGCTTATTGGTTTGCTTGTTTTGTTTGAGAGATTTCTATTCCACCTTTCTTCTGTGGGGTTTATAGGAAGACTTCAACATCCATGTTGAAATCTGGAGCCAGTTCAGGACTTTATGACCATTATAATCATGGACCTATCTCAGTTCCTTGTCAGTCTCTGACATGACAAACTCCTGGTTTTGTAACTGGCTAAAGAAAAGAGACAATAGTTCTGTGATCTCTTTGTAACAAACAAATTACTTCCTTCTAAGATATAGATTGCTGGTGGCATACTCTCTCTGTAGGTCTAAATGACTTGTTATAATAGCCTATTCCTGGGGACTGAGAAAAATCTAAGGGATTCCTGAATACTCCATGGGATTTCCTGGCTGGCAGAGCTGATGATCCTGTCAGATATCACACTGTGGAATGATGAGGTGGAAAGGGCCATTGAAACAATTGCACCTAAACACCCTCCTCAGCTTTGTGGAAACAGAAGTGCAGTTCGGTTCTTGCAACATCTTCAAGTAATGAAATGGGCTGCAATACATTTGGAATGCAGATAGTGCAAGTCTAAAGCCAAATATAGCCAAATGTAGCCAGTTTGGGAGCGCTGAACAGTACCTAATAGTGATAGCCCTCACACCTCTGGTCATCTGTTGTGATGAATTTGCTAAGCACTTTGAGGAGAAAGTGGCTTCCAAATAGAACTTGATTTCACAACTGTTACAATGTCCAGAAAGATGGTGGTAGTTCTGATTGGTCATGGTCTGAAGGATCAGTTTCTGATACCTGTAGATACAGACAAGATGGTTGCATCTGCTCAACCTACCACTTGTACCTTTGATCCATATTTATGTTATCTATTAAAATCTAGCAAAGAAGGGCTGGTGGGTGGGTTCAGAGAATGGTAAATGTCTAATTGTATCAGGGATGGTTATTTCTGCCTTGAAAAAAAGCAGTGGTACAGACCCTCCTAAAGAGGGCACCCTTGGTTCCATGGACCATCAAACTGATTGGATTCCCATTGCTAGAGCAATACATTTGCGGCTTTTGACTTACTTGCTTTTCTTATTGGCATTAGAGGTATCTTTAATCATCCTCTGAGGCAGCAACTCATCATTTCGGCTAGTGGGCCATGCTGGCTGGGGATGACAGGTTTGTAGACAACATATCTTGGGGAAGACTGGGCTGAAGTTGATATTTCAGTTACATCACTGAACTTGATGGTACTGACCCTATGTGCTGCCAAGTTGTACAACTTGTTTAATGATATTTCCCTTTTTCTCTTCTTTGGTAGCAGTTTCTTCCTCCGTGTTCATCGTAGCCATTTTGGTGCTGCTGCTCCTCTTGTACCACCGGGACCCTATGTGCTGCCAATTTCTGTGCTCTTGCCGACTCTTCCAGAGCCCCAGTCAATATGTGAGTATCTCATCGGATGCCTGCCTCTTCCAGTTTGATCAGCCTCCCTTGCCCACCAGGCCTCTCCATTCTCCCACCCATTTTTGATCCTGGATAAAGAGCACGCCTTGTGCTCTTGTGTCCTGTGAAGACTGAAGGCAACATGCTGTTTCCCTGCACAGCCTTTGGCAGGCCTCCCTCTGCATGGTTCCCATCTCACCCTTGGTACAGCAGAGGCTAGTTTTCCTTTCTGCTGACTGAATAGCAGCTCAAGGTCTATTTACAGTTCTCTCCTGCCAAGTTATAGTGTTGTGCACCAAGGAGCGCCTGTTTACCTCCCACTCTGTCTACCAACAAAGCCTTTTCACCTGAGCCTGTCCCCAGTTGGCTGCTTTTGAGGGTGGATTGTACTATGGGGGGGGGGGGGTGGAAGGCATGTATTGAAGTGTGAGAGCAGATGGTGAGGTAACACTGAGAGTGAGTCGTGTCACGAGGTAATGATGGTTCTCTCTGTGCCAAAGAGAACTATGCCCCTCCTTATCTCTCAGGCCCTTTCAGCACCAGGCCTCCTCCTTTCTTTATAGGGATGGAAAACAGCAGGGAATGCTCCTGTAAGGAACTAGTAAGTGCAGACAATCCCATTCTCCGTTGCCAGTATCCCAGCAACCAGCATTATACCTTTCACAGTTCACAACTGGGGACAGCCAGAAAGAGAACATTCTCCCGAGTTCCCCGTTTTTCTCTTTTGCGGAGGCACATTTTTTTGAAAGTGATGTTTGCTTGCGAGCACTAGAGAAGTGGAACCAAAAGGATTAAGATGGGCGGTTTCCCTGAGCTTCCTTCCCACTCTCCCACCCCATCCGACCCCCCATTAGACATTCAAAACTCAGAGAATAGCCTGAGGTCTGTATAGACTTGCAGTATATGTAAGCATTTGCATATCCAGAGTTACCCCCGTATACCCTGCTCAGTTACTGGACTGAGCTTTAAAGTAGTCCTCTCATGCCATACGCCACAAAAATGCCATGCAACCCACCACCCTCTGCAAAGTATCTGGTAGTTTTCTGTAATCCACGTTTAAAATCCAGAGTCTCTACATTTCAGAGAAGAAGATGTTGAGCTGAGATAATTGTGATGTGAGTGGAGTCTGTAGGAGATTTCTGTCCCTGCACTCCTCTCTTTGTGGCCTCCACTATATCCCCCCATTCATTGCAGCAACAGTGCCTTGTCTGTCTCCAGTGTAAATAGACCATCGAGGCCAAGCCATGTGTGATTTAACACAACTCTCCTTCTCCCATAGCCATAGCAAGTGCAGAGTTGTGTTTTTAGTGAGACCCTCTGTGCTGAGAAGAACTGAATCGTTGCTTTATTATGTAGTAAATCTAAATCTTGTATGGAATTGTGCAAGTTGGAGATACAGTGCCATATTAATTCTGCGTAGAAACTCCTTGAGAATAGCTTTGAAATAGCTGGCATCTGTCTCATCTATGATTCAGCCAAATGTTCTGTGATAAGGCTTTCCTTGGGACAGCTTTCTTTCAGGAAGCTTTTTGTACCAAATGTCCCCAGGGAAAGTTGAAAGGCTGCCCTCATGCAGCATTTGTTTTTCTTAAGCAGCCCTGTTCACTAAGGAAAGAAAGCTTCCAGGGTGAGAATTAGCCTGGTCATCGTAGCTGATTTTGCACTGTATATGCAAGGCATGTCAGGGTCTCATGGTGGTTATTGCTGATTTTTCTTATAAGAAGCGCATCAGTCCAAGAGCTATGTTTGCCCTCTGTTTAGAGCTTTCAAAATGTACTCTTTTTGTTTCCAGAGCTGAAGTCAAGTCAAACTATCTTGGCTCGGAGCAGCATGCCATGTGAATTGATAGATGTCCCAATGGACTCAATTCTCTTATATCTCTTGAAAGTTAATTGCCCTAAGCTGCCTGAAAAGAAATCAACCCTTGCCTCCAGCCCACAGGGTGAAATAGCCAAGAAATTAAATGACCAAACGGTTGCCGAGGAAACATACTTTCATTTAATCATATGATTAAACCTAGTAGCTG